TCTTCATTCTCTGTACCCTTAAAATACATGTTGAAGAGGTATAAATGGACACGGTCCTTTCAAGTTTTATCAGACTTATGTTTTACTGTAAACTTTGTAAAATTTGGTTCGCTTTATAAAGAAATTTAAGGGAATTTGGCATTACAGAGAAGCTTCAACTAAAACAAAGTGGTTTGAAGGAGAAAAAAGTCTACTGTAAATTTAATGAACAAAGAAAATTTACATGCCTGAACTAATACATACTAATACATTGAAGTTTAAAAATAAAAATGGAAAATCATAGGTGAATGGAAGGCCCTCAAATGAGGAGGTACTAAAAACTTAGTGCTTTCTCTCAATTATTTATTTATGTTGATTATATTTTAGCAGCCTTTACTAGCATTTCCTTGCATCGTTATTCATGCAGTCTTAAAATTCAATCATATTAATGAGCGTTCTTTGTTACAGAATATTCAAATCCTATTGTCTTTTCATGTGAGGTACCACTGTGCTTTGTTTACTTTCTAAAAACAGTCAGGAGGAAAGAAGTAAAAAAACCTCCAACTTTTTGTAGTACCAGATCATTCTGTTTTTCTAAAATATGCTAAGATCTTAACTGTTTTTTTTAGTTCCAAGTTACTCAGTGTTAAATTTATTTAGTTAACATTAATCACTAAAATATAACTTACCTAATTTGAAGAGTGAATTAGCCATTCTTCCACCATTGTGCAAATGAAAATTTCCCTTCCAAGAGTTAAGACATTAGAAATTGAGAGTAGTGTCCTAATTTAAAATTTAATGAAATTATAAAGTTCCAAAGATGTATGATCAGAGGTACGATATTAACATCAGTGCTTTTCCAAAGTTACTGTATAAGTCAACTTTTTTCCATTATGGACATATTTTTAATGCTGATTTCTTTATCTTTATCGTTGCACTTCTTGCCTTCAAAATGTTTGGTAAAATGTAACTGGATGATTTAAGGTTAACCTATTGCATTTCATGATGTAATTGTTTGGTTTTATACACAGATTAAAACCTGGCATCCATGGTAGTCTTTGCAGGTCTTATCATTAAGAAGAACAGGGGGAAAAAAACCATTAGGAAGTAGACTGACATGACGTGCAAAAAAACATAGGAGTTCAGTTCCTTACACAGAAAGATTAGAGACCTGAAAATTACATACTGGACACTAATCTCAAGTACTGAATTGAGAATGCAAAACCTTTCCATTATTATGGGGAAACTTTTCATCTAAAATCATTCAGAAGTATGTCGCCCTGATTGCAAAGCATGTCAGTGGCCTAAAGTCTGAATGAACGCAAAATTTCCTTCCTTTCTGTATGGTCTTAATAGATAATTGCAGTGACTGCGCTGTGGCATAGATTCATCTGGGGGCCAGGGCTTTGATCTGCAGGCAAAATTGGGCTTTATAGTTTCTCTAAAGAAGTATAATAAAGCTGCTCTTAGGATATTTTCAACTTGGTTGTGATTGGAGAATCCTGGAAGTATTCTATGAAAGCTTCTTCTGTCAGAGGTTTCATATTAATATACTTGCAGAAACAAATGGATCATTTCAAATGGATCATTTCAAAATGCATACTATTTTTTTCCTCTCCTGCTTGTTCTCTGACTGTACAAGGAATAATCCCAGTAGGACCACAAGTATTTCAAATAAACAAGAAATAAGTAAGAATAATAAATACATACATGAAATAAACTTGTTTCCAAAGTTAGTTAAATAGTGCTTATAATCTTCATTCTTTTGTTCAGCTGTGGTGTTATGCAAGTGTTATGTAAAGCGTCAGTTTGAGTGTCAATTGCAAAAAACATTTTGGGATGCTTGGGAGCCCCTTGTCAAATTTTTCCCTCACCAGCATGAAGTTAAATCTAGAGTAATGTAGCCATCTTGCTCATTGAACTAATCTGTGCCCATGATACCTTTATAACTGGCCTTTTAAGTACTAGTATCTCCAAAAAAATGTGGTAATAGTAAAAAGAACAAATAAATAGAATATGGAAATGAAACCAAGAGCAAGGTTTTGAAGAGCGTGATAGGAAGGAAGAGAGCTAACACAGGATAGCGTGTGCCTAGCAAATCAAATAATGCTCAGTCTACTTCAGATTAGGCAAACAGAATCCACTGTTCTCTCTCTGCATGTAGTTTTTCACATTGAATTTTAATTATTGGTAGCAAAGAGCACATGATTACAGCAAGTGATAACTTATTATAAACATTGACCTTCTGGATAAAACTGTCAGTCTCTCAAATCTTGCTTGGCTAGATAAGGCATTGCTTGTGACAATGAAAGAAGGCAATACGATTGGGGAATTGTAGTCCTTGATAGATTATCAGCTGTGTATTCCTATGTTAAGTCAAATAAAATTGGTGTTATGAGTGTTTGTTTTGAAAAGACGAACCATGGCTACAGCTGATTTTTTTGCAATCAGCTTTCATGTAGCAAAACAAAGGTCTTTTTGTGAGCACACGGATATAGCAGTTAGTTACGCTATTAGTATATACTTTATTGAGTTACATTGCATCTTGTTATTGTGAATATGATATAATTCCGTTGATTTTTTTTTTTAGGTGCAGCTTCTCCTAGATTTTAGTAGTATAACTGCATGAAGACTTAATTGAATCACACTTACATGGTAGAGCACTAAAAGCAGTTCTTACTGTTAATAGAAGCAGTCTGTTGTCCCTTCTGAAGGTGAGCCCTTCACTCACCTAAAGGGATGAATTTCCATAGGATAAGCATCTGATTTTACTGTAAAATAGAAAATATGTTATTAGCCTGGAGATCCCAGAACACTACTGTCTTGAACTGTAAAAACTATCCTATTGTTAGCAAATTTAATGTAAAGGGGAGTTTCAAGTTGGCTTCTCTGCAGCAGGCTGAATTGTGCAATGATAAAAATTAGTGGTTGTATTTTTCTCTTGGCCCAGATGTGAGCTACTCATGAAAACAAAACCAAACTGAGGAATACCGTCAAAATTTAATTCAGAAAACAAGATGATGATGATACTTTAGCTAATTTGTTAGCCCTTGCAGGTTTCCGTGAGGGACAGTGGTGCAAAAGTACAGCCGTTAGCTGACCTCATTTAACAGTCATGACGAGTACCAAATCACAGTGGAAAGGAAGATAATGAGCCTATTTCTTATTCTAGTTAAAAATTTGTGTAACTGTGTTACCTACAGTGGATCCCTGATGCTTTTGCAGAAACATAACCTGAAATTAGGGATCTGTGTTGGTGCAGCATTGTTCATTCTGCTTCTATTGTACTTCCTTTAATTTCTGTTGCTAGGGTGCATAGTGACTCAGTGTGTAGGCCTGCCTTATTTTAACAAACTTCTTTGCTCTCAACAATGCCGTACAGAGAATGAGTTTGTTGGATTCTCAGATTACATTCACTTTTCTGTAGCTAAATGTGTATTTGTGAAGTATGAGATGCTATCTTTAGTCCTATGTGTTAACATTTGGCTTCTCTTCCCTTCTGCCTGCTTTTGTAAATCAATTTTATTTGAAGTATAATTGAAATGTTTCATATCTTCCATGTCTTTGCAAATAGCTTTTATTTTTAAAACATTTTAATATAATTTCCTATAGCACTGAAGCTTCCTAAAATACAAAGCTATTGTACATCAGGGAGAATTTTGCTGTATACATTCATGCATCTGAAGCCAGGAGAGGGCATGCTGTACCTAACTTGTTTGACCTGTAATGTATACAAGGAATGAAAAATTTGACTGCATGTGTAATGACCTGGTAGTTCAGGTAATTTCCTTTATGCCTTAAATTAGGTAACTGACATTCATAATGTGTAGAATCTTGCTTGTTGAGCAGTTTAGCATCATCTTTGCAGAGCTACAGCTATACTAACTGGTAGTATGTTCACATTCAGTGATTTATTTGACCTGGGAAGCCAAAGAATTTCCTGTATCCTAAAAGACTGTTTTCCATGGTTTCAAATGATCAGATGATGAGCCTTCTTTTTATTCTTCCTCTTTATTCCAGTTACAATGAGTACATGATCATTTGCAATATATGTATGTGTGTATATATGTATATATAGTGGGACACTATGTATATATGGTATATACGTCTGCATATATCGGGACATGCCCTTCACTTTGGTCTGTGACTTCAACATTGTTCTGTGGCTTCACCAACTTGTTTTAGAAACCTCACAAATAAATCACTAACCATATTCACAGAAGTTATCTTCTTACTTAGATGAAATTATATCCATAAAGTACCAGTTTGTATAGAGTATGCTTTGGACCTGTCCCACTATTAAGTAAAACATAATATAATAAGCTAGAATTTGCACTGGCTGCCTGACACACACAAAGGTATTTAATTAACCTGCATGCAGAAATTAACCCTTAGAGTACTGCTTCAAATTCCTCAATTTATTTTATTGTTTAATTTTATCAGTGGGCTATGCTGCTTTTCTACTCAGCTTATAGTACTGTACATAAAGTGCATAACTAGCCATATAAAAAGTGAGAAAAAGACAAAATCCTTCTTTTAAACAAGAGATTCTCCAAGATTAAGTACCCCAGGTTGCTAATGGGTAATGTATTCCTAAGCAACTACGTTTTCTTAAGGTTTTATATTATGACATTAATTTAAAATGTGTGATGTTTCACTGTAGCTGTGTGCCTTTTAGGTTAGTTCCTAAAGTATCATAGGTATGTATGCTGTAGAAAGAAGACAGTTCTTTAAGGGTTAATGTGGGGTTAAGAAATCCTAAGGTATTCTCCTGCTTGTCTTTTCTCAAAGGTATTTGCATGTTAATTTTCAGATATTACCGAACAGGTGGACAGTGAGACTGTATGAATAACTAACTGAATGAATGAAATATTTCATTTTGAAATGCCTGCTTGTATCTTGAAAGGGCCTGGAAAACAGAAACATAATTCCTGAATCAATATCTTAAATGTGTAAAAACCTATCCAGAATAGAAATTCATATACTTACAGTTTACTCTGATTTCTTTTTATTTCAAATAGCCCAATAGAATCCTGCCAGAATTTCTACAAAGATTTCACATTACAGATCGACATGGCTTTCAATGTGTTCTTCCTACTCTACTTCGGCTTGCGTGTAAGTAGTGTGTCTTTGAGTGGGTAAGAGGGGGAATGTAGTTATTAGATAGGGAAACTCTTTGAAGACAGTCGACTTTACAGCTGCTGAATAAATTTAAGCCAGTATCTGAAATGCGTGAGCAAAGCTTTTGATTGAGAACGCTTAAGTAATAATGATAAGGGTATAAGATTACTACAGAGATTGATAGGTTATAAGTTTTCCATTTCAATATGTTTCAACTTGGTAGAAAGTGAAAACTACTATAGTCCAGTGCTGGTCAGTTAAGTGGAATCAAGTTTCAGTATTGTCAATGGAGTGGTGTCTACGTCAAGGAAGGGCTGACTGCGGAAGTGAAGGTCAGGGGCAGCCTTGGCTGCAGTGACCATAAGAAGGTGATGTTCTGGATCCTGAGAGGAGGGAGCAGGGCAAAAAGCAGAATCACAACCCTGGACTTCAGGAGAGACTTTGGTCTCTTCAGGGATCTGCTTGGAAGAATCCTATGGGATAGGGCCCTAGGGGGAAGAAAGGTCCAAGAAAGCTGGTTGATGTTCAAGGATTGCCTCCTGTAGGCTCAGGAATTGTCCATTCCAATGAGCAGAAAGTCAAGCAAAGGGGGCAGAAGGCCTGCATGGATAAACAAGGATCTCCTGGCAAAACTCAAACATAAAAGGGAAGTATACAGGAGGTGGAAGCAGGGACAGGTATCCTGGGAGGAATATAGGGACGTTATCCAAGGATACAGGGACGTTGCTAGGAAAGCCAAAGCCCATCTGGAGTTTAGTCTGGCGAGGGATGTCAAGGACAAGAAGAAGGACTTATAGAAGCAAATTAGTAGCAAAATGAAGACTAGTGGGATGTGGGCCTGCTGCTGAAAAGAGCCCTGGTCACAGAGGGCGTGGAAAAGGCCATGGTACTGAATATTTCTTTGCCTCAGTCCTTTCTAATAAGACTGGCCTTCAGAAATCCCAGGCCTCTGAGACTAGGGCGAAAGTCTGGAAGAACTTTCCGTTGGTGGTAAAAGATCAAGTTAGGGAATACTTAAGCAAACTGGACATACGCAAGTCCATGAGCCCTGATGGGATGCACCCATGAGTGCTGAGGGAGCTGGCCGGTGTCATTGCGAAGCCACTCTGTCGTCTTTGAATCATCTCAGTCATCTTGGAAATGTCGTGGCAATCAGAAGAGGTGCCTGAAGACTGGAAAAAAGCAAATGTCACTCCAGTCTTCTAAAAAGATGAGGAGGAGGATGCAGGGAACTACAGGCCAATCAGTCTCAGCTCGATGACTGGGAACATGATGGAAAAACACGATGGATACCATTTCCAGTCACATGAACAAGATGATGGTCGGGAGCAGTTGGCATGGCTTCACCAAAGGGGAAATCATGCGTAATCAACCTAATAGCCTTCTATGATGAAATGGCTGGCTTGGTACATTGGAGGAGAGCGAGGGCTGTTGTCTACCTTCACTTCAGTAAGGCTTTTAACACTGTCTCCTGTAACATCTCCATAGGCAAACTGATTAAGTATGGGCTAGATGAGTAGATAGTGAGGTGGTCTGAAAACTGGTGAACAGCTAAGCCCAGAGGGTGTTGATCAGTAGCAGGAAGACTAGTTGGTGGCCAGTAAATATCGTGGTTAATATTAGGTCCAATACTATTAAACTTATTAATGATTCAGATGATGGGGCAGTGTACCCTCAGCAAGTTTTCTGATGATACAAAGGTGGGAGGAATGGCTGATACATCAGAGGACTGTGCTGCTATTCAAAAGGACCTTGACAGGCTGGAGAGCTGGGCAGAGAGGAACCTCATGAAGTTCAGCAAAGGCAAGTGCGGAGTCCTGCATCTGGGGAGGAATAATCCCTTCCACCAGTACATGCTGATGTCCAACCTGCTGGAAAGTAGCACTGCAAACAAGACTTGGGGATTCTGGTGGACAATAAGTTGGACAGGAGTCAGCAATGTGCCCTTGTGGCACAGGTGGCCGATGGTATCCTGGGGTGCATTAGGAAGAGTGTTGCCAGCAGGTCGAGGGAGGTGATCCTTCCCCTCTGCTCAGCCCTAGTGAGGCCACATCTGGAGTATTGTGTCTGGGCTCTCCAGTAAAAGAGAGACATGGAGCTGCTGGAACAAAGGGCTGCTAAGATGACTAAAGGACTGGATCATCTGTCTTATGAGGAAAGCTGAGAGAGCTGGGATTGTCTAGCCTAGAGAAGAGCATGCTCAGGGGGATCTTATCAATGTGTATAAATATCTGAAGGGAGGATGTAAAGAAGACTGAGGTAGACTCTTTTCAGTGGTGTCCAGTGACAGGACAAGAGGCAGTGGGCGTAAACTGAAACACAGGAAATTCCATCTGAATAAAATAAAAAAAAATGTGCTGCAAGGGTGACGGACCACTGGAACAGACTGTGTAGAGAGATTTTGGAATCTGCTTTGGATGTAAAACCTGACAGGACATCATCCTGGGCAATCTGTGCTAGCTGACCCTGCTTGAACATGGTGGTTGGACCAGATGATCTTCAGAGGTCCCTTCCAACCTCAATCATTCTGTGTTTGTGTGTGAGGAGTTCCTGAGGAAAAAATGGTATTCTACTTGTGTGGGTGCAGCAATAAGTCCAATAGTGAATTTGCTAGTTATATAAAAAAGCATCTCATATCTTTAGCTATTCTAGATTATTCTGATAGATATCTCCTGTGAGGACTCACTGGCAAATTAAGGTATTTGAAGAAATATTTCAAAGCTGATCCTTCTCTCTCTGTTCTCTGTGAAATGATGAAATGCAACTCAAAATTATACCAGTATTACTGTATCTTCGGTTCTAGAATATTTGTGTTCAAACACACATGTATGTATTTTAAAATCTGTAGCTAGTATCCAACTATGTGGCAAATCAGATAATCAAGCCTGACAGAGATATGGCAAATACAAAATATTGCTATTGCATTTAGGATGACATGTTAAGTTTCAGGGATGGTAAGGTTTACTTCTGTAAATTATTGGTTACTAATTATCTAATTCTTTAAATGAGTAACTGTTCAAATACTTGCATAGAAAAGTGTGAATGGCATTTAGGGTCAAAAGACTTTTTCATTGCTGAATAACACTTATATTTTGACCTTTTGAAAGGCTGAGTGTTATACCCTATAGATAGATAAAACACTGATTAGAAAAGGCTGTTTTCTAGTCATGTATTGCAATTTATGAAAATTTTGATCTGTGATCTGGAAAAGCTTTTGGTTCCAAATATCACCACTACTTCTGAATTCAGCAGCTTGGAATTTTAAATTTCTGCTGAAACTGGATGTCTTTTTGTTCAGTTTTCATGCTGGAGCTTTTACATTAATTGAGCAACCTAGAATAATAAAAAGCCAAATTATTTAAATTCCTAGGAGGCATTTTTTTTTTTTTTTAAACTGACTTAAACATTCTTGGCATCGCTAGAGGCTCTTTTCCAACAGTTGGTATGCACCATGCATATTTTACATTAAACAAAATTTTAAATTAATCCTAGAAACTAGAAGATTAAAGTGATTAAATAGTTAGCGTATCCCTATCTACTATGTATGAAAGGCAGTGGATATCATCTGTAATTCAAGAAATGCAAGTATGATTCTTGAATATATTGGTCCTAGTTGTAGGTTTTACCTGAGAAGAATTCCTCCATTAAATATCTTTTTGATGCGCTAAACTCTCTATTTCTATGCATTTATATTTCGTATTTTTATAAACTGTATTTTCTAATTATTTCTTGAATGTGAATAGTTGTCTGACCCTCTTTAGGCATTCTATTGTCTTACCAATGCACAAACATTAATGGACAGTCAAACAATAAGGTGTCTTAGGTGTCTAAGTCAGACAGTTTCTCTGGGCTAACTTCACAGTCAGCAGAGAGAAATGACCTCTTCCACAGTACAATCCAGCGCCATAAAGTGATGCTCTAGTTCTGAATTAAGTCTTGTAGGAGTCAGCCTGGCGATTAATGCTGGGTGAGGTGAAAATTCCTTGGGATTCTTTGTAAGCGATCAGGTAGTTAGAAACATGTGAATAACAAATACATAGTGTGACTGCTACCAAAATATTTGGTGTGCTAGAGCGAAGGAGATGTATTTTGAAATATTTTATACTTCCCTGCACTTTTTTTAATATTACTGATACATTAGCAGTAAATGTGGATAAAACAGTTCTTTCTGTGAATTCTGCAACTCATCAGATAAATGCTCTGTCGCTTTAGTTAGACCTCTCATTTTAAAATCAGTGTGGTTATAAAATAACACGAAATACAGACTTGTTTCCAGTGAGACCTGTTACCTTGTTTGGGCTGATCTAACAGTATCAGTTAGTTAGTTTTCCACTAATTTTGGAGTTCAATCTTCAGAATGGAAAACATTGCATCCGCTTGCAACCAACGCGTGTATAATCTGTTTCTTCCCTCCCTCCCCCTCTTTTTTTTTCCAGTTCATAGCAGCCAACGACAAGCTGTGGTTTTGGCTAGAAGTTAACTCGGTAGTAGATTTCTTCACAGTTCCTCCAGTGTTTGTGTCAGTATATTTAAACAGAAGTTGGCTTGGTGAGTAGAATGGTTTTTCCTTTTAATAGCAAAATACTTAAACTTGGTACATTTTGATAAAGCACTTCATCTTGTGGCATCACGTAAGCAGAAGAATATTACCAAAGTTTTTTGCGTTCAATGGGCTATTCAGGTGGATCCAGCAGACAAGTGGATTATGTCAGAAAAAGCACTTGCTCAGTCCGTTTTATTCTTCACTAATGAACATAGTTCACCTAGTGAAATTTATGCTGAACTCCAGTTTGGAAATAGTGTCTTAACATGAGGGTGTTTTTATAAAATGTTGTATTTGGTGTAATTGTCCTAGCTTGCAACCTCAGAAGACAATCCAGAGCATTCATTCATTGAACTGTATTGCCATGAATCATTGTCAATAATGAAATCAACAAAATTTCTTCATATTTTGAAATAATGTAGCTAAGTTTTAAATCCATTGAAACACTGAATTTGTAAGATTTGCTTAGACATTACCAAGCTTTACCTTTGCATAGGAAAGATTGTTGGGAAGACAATACAAAGTAATATGCTACAAATAAAAAGGAATACAAAATGAAGCAGAGCAGAGAAAAAAAAAAAAGAAAATTGAGAAAAGAACACCTTCAATGTGATATTTTAAGTTTCCTGTACAAATTGCATATGTCTGTCTACTTGCATAAAATTAAGGACAAATGTCAGCGTTTTTACGTGATTAAAAAGGTCCTAAAAATCACATGCTTTGCAAGTTTATTGTCTTCAGCCAGCATGTGCAACCGCACCATTTGTCAACCATATAAGGTTGCATTTTTCCAGAAATATAGCCACTAATTGTTCCTGAAAACTAAAGACAGTGTTCAACTTAAATATTTGTTTTATGTGGAAGGAGGATAAAACAGAGGATCAGTTATAGAAAGATATTTTTAACCTGAAATGAACCTGTTTTTTTTAACAGAAATGAAAGGATGTAAAAATTGTGAATGATTTAGTATTGTATGAAAAGAGATTAATGTATATATGACTACATTAACCTTTGTAGGCCAAAGAAGACAGTAGTAAAACAGACCAGAAGATCACTACAGATCCTTAACACGATTACTTTTTCCATTGTGTGTGTAAAACTAAATAATGCTTTTTGAAGGAGAATGTCATACAGTTACATATTAATGATAGGAAATCAATCTGAGAAGAAGCATATGAGTAACAAAAAAGCTCATGCTTGAAATAAAATGCTTATTTCACTAGCTACATCTCAAGCCCGTATTCTTTACATTATATAGATTAGAGGGATGTATTTTTGCCCTTGAATCTGATATACTAAAGTGTTTCCCAGAACTTTCAGGTTAAAATGATTGGAAATGAAGGTGCAGCAAAAACTAGAATCAAAGGATCCATAGAAAAGGCATATGAAATGAAAAAATAGCAAAAAGGAAATGAGGCAAAGAGGTCATTTTAACTGAATACCCTTTTTGACAGTGACTACATTACTGACTGACTCACGGTGACATAGCAATCTAAATAACAGTATCAACAAGAATAATTAGAGAGCTTGCACATTTAGCACTTTCTGCTAGTTAGTTTTTACATGATTTATGTTATTTTATGGGCGGATTTAAACACTATACTTAGATTTATTTATATTGTTAAAAAGATTTCCCTTTCCCCTTAATTGAGCCTATGTAACTTTCTCTGGATTTGTTGTTTATAGTCTTACTTTACCTGTGTTCTGACCAAATTGTTTTGATGCATTCGTCACCTACTGAGGCACAGATTTTTTTTTTTTTTTTTTTTAGTGTAGTAAACTTAGGACTGACATATTTACAATGCTAGAGTTCTGCACCTGCTTCCGCTGTTTATTCCGGAGGGTTTTTCCCTTTAGAGAAAAGCATCCTTAGTGTAATAATTCACTGTGGATTTTTGGGGTTCTTCACATAGCTGTAACTTAGATCAGCAAGCTATTCATTTGAGATGCTATGATGAAAGACTTTCAAAGCAAATGCACTAATGTGTATTAATGGTGATTGTCTGTTGCTTTACACCTTTTAAAACGATCACAAACTTTATTCTGTCTGAGGACCCCAAATATTTGGGATATACTTATAAGTAACACAGTAGTAGTGCAGCACTGGAAGTGTGGGTGGAGGGAGAGAGGATATTTGGACAATATCACATTTCCAGGTTAGGTGCCTAATTTGCCTTTATTTTTTATGTAATTTATATTATTGAGAAAGAGTGAGAGAGAGATGCTTATCCAGAGCATCTGGAATCCAGTGATTCAGAGCATATAAGTTCTGGTTCCTGCTCTAAATATGCCAGTGGAAGTAGGTAGGGATCACAGGGAGGTTAGCCTTCTAGCTAGGCAAGTAATTAGGGAATGCTTAATGTTAGGCAATGCAAGTAGTATCCAACATACTGCAGGCTCAGATGTCAGTGTATCCCAACACTTCTGTGCATGCTCTAGGAGTGTTTTACTGATTAAGCTGAGAGTGAAAGGATTCCTTTACACATGATAAATTTCAAGATCATATCAGAACCCAAATATGATAAAAGTAAAGTTTTTTGGAATGTAGTGTGAGACAGGGTCTTTCAGATTTATTTCACCTTTGATTCATGTCAGTCATTTTTAATGAGTTCATCTAAGATGAATGAGTTCATGAAAGATGCCAGAATGCGACACTGAATTCCTGGTTTTACCAGAACTGCCCTGGTTTAGCTAAGTGACAAGAAAGTAAATATAAACACACACTTTAAATAGTATTAAAAAAAAAAAAACTATCCTAGCTCAGAATTAAATTTAGTCTTCAGAGCACTAAATGCTTGTGGAAAGATGCAAAATCCAGTGCTTACAGTCCTGGTTGACCAAAGAAACGCATTATGATAAAATCCCAGGATAGGAGAGATTGTGTGGTTTGAATGTATCATCTTATTCCACTATTGTAAAAAGCCAGTTAGCTTTCTTCCGTTTATTACATCAGTTCAGAAATGCCGCCATTCAGCTATTCTGTAACTCTTAGTGCGTAAAAATTTTCTCTTTGCCCTCTTCTCATTTGAGTCCAGTTAATTTTGAAACATACTTGTATATCTCAAAATGTTGTATATGAATGGTATTTTCATTAAGTGTGCATGAAGAATATTCCCTTAATCTTCCAGCTGGATTCCAGGATGCAAACATAATTCAGTATGTGAAATGGTTTCCACTGAAAGGATTCTGTGATTGGTAGGGTTTTCACTGTCTAGTGTGCAGATGAAGGAACAACAGCACTTAAAACCTGCGAAAACATCAAATCTTTAGAAAGAATTTCTAGAATATCGGTTTTGTTAGTGAACCATAAGGAAAGGAAGTACATGAGCAGAACTTAGCTCTAAGGATTTGTTGGCGCATGAAATGATATGCATATTCTATTATTGAAAGAGTGGAGGAGCGGTACAGAAAGGGAAAAAAAAGCTTTAATGAATCTGGAGGTAATTCACTGGTATATGTTACTTCAACAGTCAGTGGAGTCAGTATCCATTATGCTGTGACTGGGTCTTAAAACTGTACAGTTACAAACATCTCTCTTTCCTGATGAAATTCATTTGCATCTAGATCACCTTGACTTTTTTCCAACGCTGTTTTGCCGACAGTAGCATTTGTGCAGATACTTAAATGTAAATCAACACTATGTTTCATAAGATCATAAATATTTCTTGCACAGAACTGTACAAGAAATTTGATGGTAGTGATAAAAGGACAATTCTCCACTTCAAGTGCAGGCTTCTTTGGAGTAGAGAGAATCTTCCCAAGGGAAGAATGATAACGGAAAAGATGGAGTTTCTGGTTCTAAAGATTTTACAGGTAATTTTGACCATTAATTTCAACCAAATGATATCAGTGCAATGCTGAATGTGGATATTGTCTTGACAGTCAAAGTGAAAGCAGGCTAAAAATGTGGGTTTTGCATGAAAACTACGAATTGGCAGTGAATAAAGCGATGGTAATGCTAGTGATGGTAATGGTAGTTTTTTAATACAAAGAAGTCATGATCTGAATATCACAGCTAAGTTTTAGATTATCAAACCTTCATTTCTTTGGTTAGTTTGCAATCTGCTAGGCTGGAGTCCTGCAAACCATGAATGTCTTCCACTTGTGTTCACTAATGATTTATGAACATTCTGCATACTATTTGAAGCTGTTATTTTATCTTCTGTGGTAGCAAAGGCACTTTACATAACTGAAATATCTTTTGATCGTGCACTTCTGTGCTTATGAAAAAGAAAGTATTGATTTTTATGAGCAGACTATACTGGAAGACTACTAGCCTTAACAGAATAGTATTGATAGAGGAAGATTAAGCAAGTAAAATACAATATAGGCTTCATGTTTGCAAGTCCATGTGGCTGAGGAATAATCAGCCTTAGGACTACAGTGATTTAAATAAAGATAAAAATTATATTGATTTTGATATTCTCTCATATTATCATTGAGTCACTGTAGTCAAAGATAGAAAAGATCTATTACACCGACAGTTTCCTTTTTCTGACCGTATGCTCTCAGTGCTTGGTCAGTCCTACTGCTCAAAATTTCAAGCACTAGAAACTGATGACTAATGGACTGTACTATCAGGAAGGTTTTACCATCACCCTTTTGCCCTTACATTCCCTTTAGTCTAAGCTGCTGATGAAACCATACCATTTTTCAGAAAATAATTCAAGATGTACAGTGGGGAAGAGAAGGCAAACAAAGAATGCAAACATTAACGCATGCACCGCGTAGAGACAGATTCTCTTTGTATGTTGGTTAGTGTACTTAAGAGAGGGAATCTTTTTTTCTAGTCCTTGCTCAAACTCTGTCTAAGCCCCGTTATGGACCTCCCAAGTCCTTTTGGATCTGACTGTTCGTGTTTTTCAAAGAGTATTGCTTCCTCGTCTGAGAAGAGTGCTTCCAATGTCTCTTATAGGTAGCTAGTTCTGAGATTCAGAGGAAAATGGAAAGAGAGAGATAGGAAGAGGGGAGGAAAATCAGAGTGCCAGATTCAGATAGCTTAAGC